GATCCCGAGAGAATGGAGAAGAGATTGTGGTGTGGCTATCCCCCTGGGGGGTGATTTTTGTCTCTGTCTCCCATGCAAAAGTATCTCTTAAAAACAAAACAAAAAAGAAGAAATACTGGTGTGTGCCCCAAATTCCAAAAAGAGAAATGGAGAAGGGAAGTGTGGTGTGATCATGCCCCATGGGGAGAGCTTTCTCTCTAATTTACACATACCCTCCTAGCAGATTAAAAATGTTAGCACTGGGGCCAGCAGGTGGCGTGGTGGTTAAGGGCGTTGGCTTCCCACGTGGCCAACCGCGGTTCGAGTCCTGGACCTGGTGGCTTGCTTTCTCCCTTTCCCTCTCTCTCTCTCTGTCCCTCTCTGGTCAAATTAAAATAAGTAAATAAATAAAATAAACGTTCATTTATAAAAAAAAAATGTTAGCACTGGTTAACTCTAAGTATGGAGAAGTTAGATGGAGACATCGCTTACAGAATTCCATACTTCAGGGAATTATGTTTTTACTGTCTATGTCTTGTATTCCCTTATTTAAAAAAAAAAGCTTCCTTGTTAAAATTAATAGAAATATTTAATGTGGAAGGGTAAAGGATGACTAAATTTTTCTTAACCTACACAACAGCATCTAATACAATAAACACTATGAACATTTGGGAAAGGCGGGAAAGGGGGGAAGGAATAAGTTTAAGCATGCTTGGTAGAGATATAAGATAATCATTAACAACATAATAAAGCATTTTAGAACATGTAAATGTAAATGTTTCCCCTCCTTTACAGGTAACAAGTTCCCCTCTTTTCCACACAAGTGGAAAGTACATTTTCATAGAGATAAAAAATATATAGCCATGGGCCAGCATGGTGTGGTTAGGGCGACAGGATCCCACATGGCCAAATGCACAGCTGAATCCTGAATCTCTGACCCAATGGCTTGAAAAACACACCAGGTAATGCATGTACATGCCCCAAATCCCAAGGACAATGGAGAAGGGATTACAGAGTAGTCATCTCCTCTGGGGGATTTCTCATTCCCTCACCCCCGACCCTGCATCTCTCTGCCAAATGCACATACTCTATAGCAAGAACGGCAAAAACAATTTAACCATTAATGGCATGATAAAGCAGTTTAGAACCTCTAAATGAACAGCAGGGGGGAAGGAGAAAGCTACTTGATCAGGCTGGCAAAATAGAATGTGAAAAAGTAACAAAAATAAATGCGAGGGATGTGATTAACACTGTACTGTTCAAATAAATGTTAAGGGTTGCATTTTGCATTTATCTACAAAAGGAAATAAAACCTTTCATATTGGGTGTAAGAACTCAGCTGGGGGGGGACCAGCAGTTAGCGTAATGGGTATGTCGCTGGACTCCCACATAGTCTACCGCGGTTCGACTTAAACTCACGCCGGGCGCGTGTGCGTGCATGCCCAGGATCCCGAGAGGAGAATGGAGGAGAAGGGATTGCGGCATGGCCATTCCCCCTGGGGGGTGATTTCTCGCTTTCTGTCTCTGTGTCTCTCTGTCTGGTGAGCGCACGCGCCCTATAGCAAAAACTTCTCCAAAAAAAAAAAAAAAAAAAAAATACGCGTTTGGAGCACACCACAGCTAGGAGGCACCAGCAGCAGTTAGCGTAATGGCTATGTCGCTGGACTCCCATGTAGTCGACCACGGTTAGCGTCCCGGACCCAGTGGCTTAAAAAACTCACGCCGGGCGCATGTGCGTGCATGCCCAAGATCCTGAGAGGAGAATGGAGAAGGGATTGCGGCGTGGCCATCCCCCTTGGGGGGTGATTTCTCGCTTTCTGTCTCTCTGTTTCTCTGTCTGTCTGGTGAGCGCATGCACCCTATAGCAAAAACCTCTCCAAAAAAAAAAAAAAACTCAGCTAGGAGTTTTCATCTAACTTAGCTACGTGGTGATGAAATATCTAATAAAGTCAATGTGTAATGACAAAAAAGGTCCTATTCACAATCCATTAATATCTTTAAAATATTTCACAATTTCAAGATGAGCATTAAAAAACTATCAGTTTGAGTGACTATTGGTTTCCTGTTGCTATGGTAACAAGTAGTCACAATCTTACTGGCTCAAAACAGCCCACACGTATTATCTGTGAGTTCTACAGGTAAGAAACCTCACTGGGCTAATGTTGAGGCGTCAGCAGGTCTACATTCCTTTTTTGGAGGCTTTTAGGGGAGAATCTCCAACACTTATTCAGGTATTGGCAGAATTCAATTCATTGAGGTTGTAGGACTGTTTTCTTGTCATCAGCTGGGAGCAACTGCTAGCTCTTAAGAGACCTTAAGAGACCTCTCTACTGTCCTGTGTAGCCCCTTACATGTCAGAAGCTGCAACAGGGTATAGAAATGCCATGCTTTGGCTCTCCCCAGTGATTAGATTGCGCCGTTGCAGCTACTTCAGCATAATCTCATCACCAGGTCTTTGACCTTAATTACGAAATTAATCCCTTTCCCTTTTGCCTTGTTAGGTAATGGTTTCTGCAGGTTCTGAGAAATTAGGGCATGGTCATCTCTGGAGTGCAGTCATTAGCCTGCCCACCACAGCGAAGGACGAAGGACGTCAAAAAACAACAAAAACTATGGGCAAAGTGTCACTCACACTTGAGAAAATGTGGTATTGTAAAGATGCCATTTCTCCCTAAATTAGCCAACAAATTCAGTGCTAAATACTCTAATGATAACTTATGTTAGATTGTCCTATCAGGTACATGGATATATGCTCAGAATTACACTGCTGGCTAAGGGAGCCAGGTCCCACATGGCTGACTATGGTTCAAATCCTGACCCAACAGCTTGAAAAATACTCTAGAGAGACCAGCAGATGGCTTATGGTTACACTGTTGGACTCCCTTGTAGTTGACCAGTGTGAGTCCTGGACCCAGTGGCTTAAAATTCAAACCAGGCACATGTGCATGCATGCCCAAAATCCTGAGAGGAAAATGGAGAAGGGATTGTGGCATGGCCATCCCCCCAGGGGGGTGATTTCTCGCTTTTTGTCTCTTTGGTGAGTGCGTCTGCCCTATTAAAAAAATTAAAGAAAAACACACCGGCTGAGCACATGTATGTGTGCACCCAATAATCATGGAGGATAGAGAAATGGAGGAGAAAGTATTGTGGTGTGACCATGTCCCCTGGGGGCAGTGGTGCAGAAGTGCTTTCTCCTCCCTTTCTGGAGAGCACAAGTACCTTTCAGCAAACATTTACAAAAAGGTTATTTTGTTTAATAAAATAAAAGAATGTGACTTCCCTTGCATATCTTAACCAAGGTAGACTGCATATATCCTAGAGCCAAATATACCAGCAATCTGCACAAGGGCAAAGTAGTATTTCCTAGTAGTATTTTCCCCAAAATAAATATATTATTATTTTTGAAGAATTAATTTATTACTTTTTTAAAATTTCACAGCAGGTGGCATGGTGGTTAGGAGCACTACCTCTCTCTCGTTAAAAATGAAAAATAATGATAATAAATCTTTTCAAAAAAATTTCACTAAAGGGCACATGTGCTTACCAGAGAGTGAGAAAACAAGTCAGCAGATCCCAGACTCCAACCATTGTACTTGCTGGCCCCTGTTACTATTTCTTAAAGGATTATTTAATTTTATTTATTATTATTTTATTTCACTAGAGAGACAAAGAGAACGAGAGGGAAAGTAAGAAAGCAAGCTGCCCTGCCCTGGACTCACACCGCAGTCCACCACGTGGGGGCCCAGTGCCTTAACCACGCCACCGGTTGGCCCTTCCCACCTACTATTAACATCCAGGATTTTTCTGTCACCACTTCTAGGCAGACATTTGATAGATACTACAAACTGTCTAGAGACTTCTATCACCCTTATCTTATTCATAACCAAAAGCTCAAGACCGCATCGTAGGTATACTTTCACTGCGTATCCCAAACCGAGAGCTCATGCTATTTTCTGCCCACTAACGCAGCTTGATTAGAGCTTCATGCAAAAGTTCCTGGAGGATGGGCGGGAACATTTTTACCTTGGTTGAGACAGCATTTACAAAGGAAATCTTTCCTAGGAACTATTTCCATCAGAATAATACGTTCAAGATGTGGACAGCAGCAAGAGAGGCAGGCCACGGGCGGGGTGGGGGTGTAGACGCCCGTTATTAGTACTCCCTCCAGCTCTGAACATGGGGATGCAGGGTGAAGAGAAACATCAGAGGACTTTCTCCAAAGGGATTTTTTAAAAATGTACTCCCAGAGAAGTGCGTACAATGATTAACTTCCCTCAGAAGCGGTTAGGTCAGTCAAAAAAAAAGTAATAATAGCCCACAGTGTCCAAGGCAACTGCCACACTTGATTACAATCCACGTTCCAGAGAACGTACCCTACTGGTAAATCCCTGCAAACAAAACAGCCCCCGTCACACCGAGCTGGGAAGACACCGCGGACGTGGTCTTTACCCTTGACTAAATGTGAAAACCAAGGGTGTCTCTGCATTTTCCACTTCTACCCAATGACCTTTACGAGCCCAAACGCGCAAGGCAAAATCTCCCCTGCACACTGTTTTCCGGGATCCTGTTTAATCCGGGGAGGGAGCGGCCAGGGAGGAGGGAGGCCCAGCCGAGCCCGCGGCTTC